GCACTGGATCAGTCCTATTACTGACATTCATATCTGGGATAGGACTTCTAACGGGGCTGAATATGTCTGCATTAGGGTTTAGCTGTGGGCTCTACTTTTGGTTTTTCCATTATTTTTTGTTGGTTTAAAGTCCCACTTTTACCTATATTTATCTTTAAGAAAACTTGTACGTTATAATATTTCAATCTCTTCGTCTGCAAAAATGTTCGCCCCCCCAGTAGCACAGAGGTATGTGTGCGGACTTACAACACTAGAATCCTGGTTTCGATACCCGTTGTGGGAAGCGTACAGATAGCCCATTGTGCTTAATTACAAACAAACAAAAATGTTTAATGATATATACATTGAATATATTTTAAATTAAAAAGTATACACTGTCGCTTGCTCGACAATAAAGTAAATAGACACGTGTGGCGCTCATGCAACCTTTAAGATTCAACGTGTGTTTTTGTGGACTTATTTTCATACTATGACACCGAGCATTTGGTGTAACTGTGTATTATATCATCTTGGACATCCGTAAAGCTGATATATTTATTAAATTTTGTTTGATTTTTCGCTTCAGTGATTTCATCTTGATTCTTTATTTTGACATTGTGGTTATTTTATCCATACATATACAAAGCATAAGAATCTGTGTCTGTCTGTTTGTTCGTTATCTAACTACTCTTAGGTCGCTGGGCCAATCTCAACCAAATTTTGTGAGATGATAGTTTGGAATAATGGGATATTAATGAGGGGTTCACAACCCCTCCACACCCACTATTGCTGTTATTGAGCATTTATCATCTTTGACTTAAGTTAATTACATTCAGAGATGGCGCCACGTCCTTACACCAAAAAACAAAAATACTTAATTTTTTTATAAATCAACACACAGTGTAGGAGGAGGGAATACGAACCTCTGATATGTCTCAGATAGCGCATAGCACTCTCTATGGAGGAATTCAATGAAAAAATGGCCGCCCCCATTGCAATAGTACATAAACTCAACTGAAGTTTCTACTCCAACAGCCACCATAAGGCTGATATGAAGAGCTGTTTCTTGAATTATACAAACTTCCTACTTTGACCCGTGATCTTTCAACTAAGGCCCATAAGACACTTCTGCGGCCAATGACCGTCAGTTAATTAATCTCGTGAAACACTGTGGAAGGACATTAAGAGCTGGGTGTTAAAAGCGGGTAACAGAAAGCACCCTTACGGCCACTACATTGTCCGCTACCTCTTCCTACAAAGTTACTCTGATCATCGCACAGTCCATTTTGTCCGGGTTATGAACTTAAAAAATTGTGAACCCTGATGCTGAGGTATTATAAATAACACAAAAATCGTAACTTTCATACAATTTATTTATAGCCTAACATATTATTACAGTATCCATTATTACCTCACCGAAAGCTTTGTATAAGGCTTAAAAACTCAATATGTATATATACTTAAAATATGTATGGTCCATGTATGGTGGACGGATACCTCAACTTGTAATTAATAATTCCCATTGCTTTACTTACATTATTCTTTAAATCGGTTGCTTTGAATTCTTTAATAAAGAGGTTGGTAGATCGAGTTTTAAAAGAATCTAGAATCCAATGTTTAAAGAGAAATTGGAGTAGGTAGATATTATGGCGCATCAACGAGGTATGTAACGTGCTCTTACATAAGTCGTTCATAGGAAAAAAATACGAGATTTGCAATTTCTATCGAACTGTGAGCTTGTATCTTTTTAACCTATAAGAACAAGTTTTAAATGCAAAACACGTTGTTTAATTTAAGCAAAGACAAGTCACATACAGCGCAAGTACCAGAATAATGTCGGTTTTATTTACTCTATCAAACCCAAAAATTTAACAACAATAATAATTTTCCAACTAAATAAAATGACATTTTAAAAAACCATTCATTAGTACATTCAATATATAGTTTTTTGAAGATAGTTTTATTTTCAACCGAAACAACTTACAAATTAGCGGATTTAGTGATTATACTAACGCCATCTATTGCAACAATAAAGCACTATATGTACACATTCAAAATACACAGAAATTATTATTCATTTTATTATTATCCGTGACTTCTTGGCATAGTTTGATAGGTAGCTTAAACTTTTACTAAAACGGACGTTTCACCGATAAAATTATTAAAAGGGAACTTTTATTCATGCCTCATGAAGACAACATTTATCATAACTTCTTTCATTAATTTAATAATGATAATTTTGGATCGTGTACTTTTTAAAATAAAAGTATAAAGTAAAGAATATATACTATATTCATGTTAAAAATGAAATGGGACTCAAATTCTTAGTTACGGGTCACAATATGGCACCCTACATCACTAACAAAAATAACACCGCGAAATTACGAAAAGTATCTAAACAATGTCAATAATTATTCATTTAATGTAGTGCTTTTCCGAAGATAATGACAGAAATTATATAAAGTAAAAGCTTCATCACCTTCAGGTAAGAAATGAACAATATGCAAGGGTTTAACATTAATATTATTTCTGTACTTTACTTAATTGGTATGAAAATATAGAAAGTGTGGCACTGAACGGAATACTTCTACACATCTAGCACCAAACGACAGTTAAACATATAGAACAAGCTGAACACACACGCCCTCCATTGGTATTTAGGTTATAGTCGGGCGGACACTCATCAACTGATGGAAATCATTTTCAGCATCAGTATTGTAGCAAAGTAAAATGAAAGGATTGATGAAGAACATTAGACGTTTAGATTGATTAAAAATACTATCTATGCGAATTATCGTTAAAAACAATGAAAATGCATGATATACATCACAGAATATGTTTAGTAATACCTTAACGTTAATTAAATATAAAATTTATTAAATTGAAACTTACAATATTATTAGACACAATATTAAGCTACAATACGACGTTACGCTACTGTACCAAAGCCTTATGACCACATTAATAAGACAAAATGCTTGCTAGCATTGTAGAACAAGGCTGTTGTTTCTTATATAAAGTACTTAATTTACTTTTAGAACAAAATTAGAATGTAATAGTATCTTACTGCAATATTATTTTCATTAAACAGTTTCTAGGCTTTTCTCAAGACTTCTTATAAGAACAGTCGACTAATGAGAACGGATTTAGCCAGTAGATGGTCATTCACGGCAAAATGATGTACATTTAATGACACCTACTTTAAAGTCTATTACTCAAAACCAAGTTTTTATTTACTAAGTGAACCTTTATTTATTCGTCCTTTTAAAGGCAAAACGACACCTGGTGTCTAGTAAAAGATACACGAGTATTTGTAAATAGCTGTGTGTATACTTAATTATATGCAAAATAAGTAGTTTGCTTACACGAAAACAAAATATGTGTTACAACATTAAAGTCAGAAAACTGTTCATTAACATATTGTTCCATGAAATGTAAGGTCTAACTACGAAATAGTTCTCACCAGGTTTTTGAAAATAACAGTAGAACAGTACTGACAAATACCTCAAAATTACAAAAAGCAGATACGATGTTTACAAAAGCGAGCGTTAGGCTATACACTTTGAGAATAAAGGCAACAATAGTAAAAACCGTGATGTAGTAATAATATAACAAAATGATCATACTTTTCTTTAAATAGTTTGCATAATAATAATATCCACCAGAAGCAGACACTGTTTACTAGACACATAACGTGTCATGTTGTCAGGTTTATAACTTTCATCTTAGCGATAAAATCCGGTCGTCGGAACAATGTTTACATATAATCTACATATATCAATTCATGTTTATTGTAAGGCTTGTGTCACATTGACAATGTAAACTTGTTCCCAGGCAAACGAAGAATATAAAAAACCACAAAAAAATTAAAATATTACTAAATTACTCTCTAGTTACAAAAAAGAAAGTCTGAAAACAAAAAAAAGCATATCAGCTTCTGTATATTTATATTACAATTGCTGTATACAGTTAACACCAATCCAAACATCAGGTTGGTGGTATTATATTAAAATAAAAGCCATCAACAACGATAAGCCTAGAAATTAAGCGTATATTTTTCATTAGTACTATAAATCCCTCATCCAAACATTTTTTTTGCTATTTCAGTAGCACCGTATATACTCTGTTTAAAACAAACAACAACAAAGAAACCAACATAGAAACCACCAAAAATCTATAAGCACTTAGGCAGATTTGCGAGGTGCTCAATAGACAGCGTAACTTAGATAAGCTTCTGTTTGGCGCACTCTGGACACAAGATGTCGGGACCATCGGTGATAAACCCTTTGCCTACCAATGATGTGTTACACATAGCGCAAATGAAGCAATCATTATGCCAATTCCTGTCTTCGAAGGAAATAAAACGCGTGCCACCGATTCCTGCAAAAAAAAGACGTAAAACAAAGTGTCAATACTGTTAATTTACAATCATACAATAATATAAAAGCTTCAAACCTTCACTACATTTGGTAAAATAACGTCAGAAACCAGCATTAATCCTGTTTTTGTTTACACCAAATGTAAAAACACAAGTATTCAGTCAACTAAGAAAAAAAAAATGTTTCTACAAATACAAGTACTAGAAAAATCGTTACTGCATTAAAAATACGTATTTACTACTATTGCCCAAATTCAGGTAAAGAAAACAAAAATATTCAAACCCAGCGATTAAACAATGTGAAATACACATTCGAAATGATGTTCAAGTCAACAGTTTTATAAATACATATATTTTCGCTCCTGATACACGTATATATATACATATATATATACACACGCACACACATATAACTTAAGGACAACAAGTCATCTGTTGGTCCATCTATGCCGTCCTATTCACTAACCTAAATTTTAAAATGAAAATACAGCACTCAAAGCCAGCCCTTATCATTCAAATATTTGTCAAGCCTTCCCTTAAGCATCTTTAAATTAACTGCATTCACCAAATACAAAAGCAACCCAATTTCGAATGCCAACCATTCTGTTAGAAAAATAAAGTTGTCTTAGCTGAAGATGATTCCTGCTCTTTATAACCGTCCTCTAGTTCTACCATTCTCATCATTAAGTACGAGAAAAGATAATACATTAACAATATCAATTCCCTTAACAATCTTAAACATCTCAATCAGATCCCCTCTAACTCTTCGTTTTTCCTGATAAAACAATTTCAGAGATCTTCTCCCGTCCGATTATACTGAAAAATAATTTGGGGTATTTATTTTTTATTAAGTGGCACATCAAATGCTGTTCTTTACACAGAATTTATGGTGATTAGTGCAATTAAAAATAACTGACAAGTTCCTACATCTGTGAGTTTCACCTGAACGAGACAAGAGGCATCAAAGGACCCAGTAGGCACAGAAAGACATTTTTATAGAAAGTTAGTTTTTCCCACAAAATGAGAATACAATTCCAATTTCATATATCATACAGGGAAGATAAATAACACTTTGGTGGATTTTCATAAAGTAAATATGGAAAGATAATAATTAGTATAATATTTAAGCTCCGATTTAGAAAAAAAATCTTACCACATGTATAAAAATAAATATTGAAAAAACACCATGAAAAGCATGTCGATGTAAACAATCAATAAAAGAATGTGACAAACTTAAATCAGTATAATAAACGAGGATCATTATAATCTTATGAGACATTTAGGACTTCATTCTGAAATCACAAACGAACTTAAGGTTCATAATATGTAGTTTGGAAATCTGGAAATTATACAACTGAAATCGATGAATAAGAATTCGGGAAAAGAAAAATATATAATAGTAAAAATAGTACGAGTAATGTGGATTGTAGAGAAACAAGGTTTTATAACACCGGTAAAAGCCAAAACTTTAGATACATTAATAAGCATAATTATAAAACATGTAAAAGCAGAAAGTCCCGTAATAACAGACTGTTGGAAAGTACAGAGCACATTAAACAACCAGTTCCACACACTACACAGTATAAATTTCGTAAAATCCAGAAACACTGGACAGATACATTTTTAATATAAACTACAAGACAGCAAAAAAAAAAAAGAAAGAAAAAGACAGCTAGCAAACAAACAGGCATAGCCAAAAAACTCCAGCCACTGGAATAATATACAACATCCCTAAGCATAATTTCCTGTTTGGTCCGATTAAGTTAGGTACATACCGACTCCATAATTTTTATCGAAATGTAATAATTCTCTAAACATTTTTTTTTAAGAAGCTGTTTCTTGGGCTTAGGTTATAACGCCTAGTGCTAATAACGCTTACACACGTTTATCCTACCCACTCCTTAAAAAATCTCACCGTGTTTGCATAAATTGCACGACCCAGTTTTGACGGGAAGACTGGGGCCACCATACTGTAGCTAAGCCAATGACACACTTCATCTATCAGGATATTTATGGATAAAAAAATTACACTGTGAAAACAAATCCAACTGCTTTATAAACGCCATAATAACCACATACACATCACCATAAACCTTAACATAATACCATCACAATAAATAATTTAGAACATTTTAGCTCTTTTCTTTTGTCTAATAGCATCATAAACTAAAATATAAATTATGCTAAAAAAATTATTAACGAGGGAAAAACAATAACAGTGTTCAAAAGACAGCCAGTCAACATAACAAAATGTACAGGAAAACCATCAAAATAGGAAGAAAATCACAAAGCACACAAATAAAAAACAACAAAAAGAAGAAATAAATATATAAAAATTCAAATAGTAGAAAAAAGGAAAATTAAACATAAATATAACAAAATAACCCAGTAATAAATAAAATACATCTGTGGGTCGCGGGTGCGAATCCTCGTTACCGAACATTCTAGCCGAGGGACATTATAATGGTCAATCCCACTATTCGTGGGAAAAGGAGTAGCCCAAGAGATGGCAGTAGATGGTATTGACTAGCTGCCTTCCTTCCAGTCTGCCCGCCAGTGATACAGCGGCATGTCTGCGGACTTACAACGCTAGAAACCGGGTTTCGATACCCGTGGTGGGCAGAGCACAGATAGCCCTTGTGTATAATTAAAAACACAACAATCCTTCTAGTCTATCATTACTAAAGAAGGGACGGCTAGCGCAGATTGCCCTCGAGTAGCTTTGGACGAAATTAAAAATAAACAATATGAAAAAGGGGGGCGTCCCGATACGGAACTCTTTCCCTTAAGTTGCCTGTACTTTCTACTACTGTTTGTTTGTTTTGTTTTTTTCCTAGCCCTACAAAACTGATTGAGGTCCATCACAGACTCGTGAAAGTGGTATTTCAAACGCTATATGGCATAAAATAAAAACAGCACTAATTAATTTCTGTTTATTTCAACATTTATTAATGATAATGAATCGATTGATCAATATTATCTATTACTCTTAGTGCAATGTGTAAATAAGGCAACACTTTTCCTGAAATTGCAGCAAACTCACAATGGAATTAGAGAAACAATTTACGCACGTACGCAACAGGGGGGTTTGAGGAGGTTCGCCCGAATCCCCTATTTTTGTGCTTATATAATTATAGTGCAGCTGCTTATGGTATTTAAAGTTTACATTTTTATGTTGAAGCATTAGCATTTTTTTGGCTTGAAATAGTCGCATGCAAATGATTTCTGTTGACACTTTGTAATTGGAAGTCCGAAGCCGTATTGCTCCTGTCAAGTTTCGTAGGCCGGATTCTTTACAGAGATGGCTGTGACTTGTTGGGGATGTTGAGGTACTAGCTTTAGTATATAATCATTATGACACTGCTATCAACAGAATGATGATTTGTTGACTTTTCATTGGATGTTTGTGGATTTTATGTGAATAGCCATGCAATTGTTTAAGCTACAATGCATGCAAAATTGCTCCTAGCTTTAATTTCATAGCACCAATTTTTTTATAAATTTCCTGTGGAGGCTTGCCCCAGACACCTGTAATATTAACATGATGATTGAGCTTCGCACAATATGTGTTGGCTTTTCATCTCACAAATTAGAAACACCCTTTCAAACATCCTGCGTACGGGCTTGCAATTAGACCATGATTTATATACCTCACAGCCTACTTAACAGCTTCAAACTTACTGTTCAATAATTGCACCGAGTCGTACAGCATCTACTACAAACCATCTTTCATGTGTTACACCGCTCTGTTTAACACAAATGTTTAACTCAATTGTTTCATCTTTCAACATGGCGGTTTTGAATACGACATTTGTGGCATATTGTTCAATACTTGTGATGTAGATTAAGTCCTAGAAATTGATTGTGAGTCACGTTTCTTTTGATTGGAAACAACTGTGACAAAGAACATCTAAATTTTCCGAGAGGTTATTCGTTCTTGTTCTCCATAATTATTGCAGTTTTACTTTCTTTTTGCTGCTCTTGGATGCCGCTGTCATGTCTGTTACCGAAGTAGCGAAGGCAATTTAAGTTACGAGTGATGAGGCAGGAACAAAATATTTCGTTGGTAAGCTCTTCACTCAAAGCCCTTGGTAACTGCTACGACTCTGAACCCGCCTTGAGTGTAAGTATGTGTACCACGTTTTCTCAATGTCAACAGATGTGTATAATAACAATATCTAGCATTTTATATTATTACATTTCTTAGTATATTTAGATATCACACTCATAAATCATTTACTTCCTCTACTATAAATACTATAATCTAGAAATTAATTAATTAATTAATTTTAATTAATTTTATAAAGTTATTTTACATTGTTTGTTTGTTTTTGAATTTCGTGCAAAGATACACGAGGGTTATCTGCGCTAGCCGTCCCTAATTTAGCAGTGTAAGACTAGAGGGAGGGCAGCTAGTCATCACCACCAACTCTTGGGCTACTCTTTTACCAACGAATAGTGGGATTGACCGTCACATTATAACGCCCCCACGGCTGAAAGGGCGAGCATGTTTGGTGGGACGGGTATTCGAACCCGCGACCCTCAGATTGCGAGTCGAGCGCCCATTATTTTACATATATTTACTAATACCATGAGAGGTCGTGCACTGCATTCTCACAGTCAGTGAAACTGTGCAATAGCAAATTTTACGCGTTTTGGTTAGACCGTCGTCATGTAGGTCTAGTTGTTGTATTAAGGATAACTGACGCTACCTGTTATTGGCTTGCTACATGATGTGCACCTCTTGGCAAACAATTCTCCAAAACAATCAGCACAGTATGGTTTATCGTCCCTGGACGTGAAACGCTGCCCTGCCAAAGAAGCGGAGCAGTTAGTGCAACTGAAACACTCCCGGTGCCAGGGTTCATTACGGTACGTTACACCACCACTCGTGATAATCTGAAAAATGTAAAGATAGGAAAACAAATTATAATTCAATTACAACTGAAAGTTAATACTTTGAGGATTAGTTTGATGCTAGCGTAACATATCAAAATAGTTTTTGAGCTCAAGTTGAGTTCCGCCATGAAAGCAAGTAATAACACAAATGCTCAAAAAATGGCTTTTTGCATATTGTCTCTAATGTCTACTCCTAAATCTGTATTATAGAAGTCTCAATAAACCTTCTGAAATACTTATTAGAAAAATTCATGACAGGCCAATTAATCTGGAAATATCAATTTTATACGTCTTAGTTGTCATCTTAATGTCATAACTGGCACAGCTGAAGCAAAAGTGTTATAAATAATAGGTTAAGATGTATACACAAAATTGAAACTATACAATTTCGAAATTAGTTTCTTATAAATGACAGGTTACTTCCTGAACATACCTGACTACACTTAATACAGCGCGTGGCAAATTTCTCTTCGTAGCATCCTGTGCAGTAGATATCGTTATCCCGGGGGATAAAACTTTTAGTTCCGATGGGGTTTTTACACATGCAGCAACAGAAACATTTTTCGTGCCATTGTCGACCCTTATACTCCATTTTCTTTGTTCCTAGAAGAAAGAGAAAAATAAACCAATAATATTTCATCTGTCTACTCTTGATTACCACATGACCCAAGGTCTTACGTACTTTACAAGTTATTATTATTAATTTTAACTGCTGTTTAAACTTCTTTATTTCAAGTATGCATGGTATGGCCATGTCTACTATAAAGATTCTTTGTGTAGATACAGAACCTAAGATTATAAAGTATTTAAAATAATTATGGAAAATCGCAGGTGATACACCTAAAGAAGTTAAAAACAATGAGTAACTGTAACTAAATGATCAATTTTTTTATTAGTATAATACATTATTACACAAAGTAAAAGTAAGTTGTATAATGCACTAATTTTTGTATTTTTTTAACACCTTGTGTTTATGCTACCGTAAGTTATCAAAGCATGATTGTGAAATATTATACTAAATATCTTGTATTATTCCCCAGAATTCAGCCAAGCTGTTTGACTGCCGTTTGACCTTCTCAGTTTTTCTATAAACACATACAGTTTTAACAGTATTTATATCGTGATTTTGTGCCATGGTTGCGGGTACTATATTGGTTTCTTCGTTTTTTTTTTTAGTTTCGGGTATCGTTTTACCACATTTGTTGCATGTATGGTGGTAACTGAAATAAGTTTCCCTGCCCTACATAGATTACCTTATTTTTGTGGGAATGCCATGATGGATAAGAATGTGCATGTATTTGTCAGTAGTGAAGGTGACATCAATTTTGTATAGATCTCCAACACCACTGGCTGAGATGCATCCACCTCCAACTTAATTCATTCTATTGTTTGAAGTCTTATGTCAATTTCAACCTTTTGTTTTGGTTATCCCTCCCAATCAGTGGTTTTCAGGCAACTAAACATCCATCGAGGCCAATTTGTGTATAACACACCAGGCATCAATGGAGAAGATTCAGGATCAAATTAACCTCCTAATAATGCAAAAATAGTCCTTCTCGGTACTTCCTTGAAGACGGTAACAGATACAAAGCCGAAACATAAGATAAAACATGTTAGTTATCAGTGTCTAATTCTATATATTATCAACAGCACAAGTTTCCCATGCCCCTATGAAGCCTCTATTAAATCACGGAAAGGAGTAGCCTTCATCAGTCAAAATGCTGGTTTCTGCACATTTGCTAAGTGGAATTTCTGTCCTGAGAGCCATGAGTACATTACCACACTACTACTGGAAATAGTATTACTAACTATACTTTCCGGCATTATTCTAGTGTGTATGGCACTGTCTAATTGGTTGGTGATAGCCAATACAATTTAAGCTATAAACTCGTGAAATTATTCTGGTGTATTTCATTTTCATACAATACGTAGTGGTGCAATCCCATAATATATTCCATTTATACCAATTGAATTCACTGTTTTCATAATTATTTCCAATACTGTACATTTCTGACAGTTTTCTATTTCAAACAAAATTTGATATTAACTATTTCAAAAGACCTACGAATACGGCTGTTGGATATACAAGACTGTTCAGTTTAAGAGTTATTATACGTTATTTATTGGTTTAATATTTAATGATTAGTTAGTTTTCATAACAAGAGTGTTAAAAGTTAATTATTTTAAAAGCTATAGTTATGACAAGTTTTGTTACGTAGCTCTGTACGAGTCGTACATTGTGTTTGTAGTGTAATTGTTGTACTAGGCTTTTGTAATATTGTTGACGTCATCTTACTCGAAGCGTCTAAGTTTCTCTCCTTATGTTTAATATTTTCTGTTACTAGAGGGCTATATATTTCTAGATCTTTATATTGCTTGTTATAAATACGTGTAAGTACAGAAAAAAGTTTAGTTGTGAAAGTGAAGTTAGACTGTCTGATTGTTAGCTTATCCGTAACGGGCGATTTATAAAGTGAGAGTTTAACAGTTTGTATTGTAACGACAGAGATAGAGAATAATAATTTATATTGCCAATGAATGGTCTGAAGTAATTGAACCAGCCTGTGTGGACTTTTGACAAAAAAAAAGAAAAGAATTGTTTAAAGCTATAGCTAAATTCAACTGTGGTAAACAATAGTGCAACGAATTTTTGTACGTACATTTGACTTGTTTTGAATATATATATATATATATTATTTTAAAACAAGTGGATTGTGTGCTGTCCGTTTATTGTTGAAATTTATCACCAAGTCATAGACACCTACTGTAAAGAATTCAGCCCTATAAAAACTTAACAACGGCCTTTGTTATTATCCATTGAAACGACTCTTCATTAAATGATCTTTATTCTAATCCTCTTTAACCACTCTCTACTATATAGCCTTTGATTGTACCATTTCCAAAATTTTCAACCTTAACCACATTGCGTTTACCTTATCTGTCTTAAAAATTTGTATTTTGATTATGTGACCTTCAGCCTCTACTCTTTTAACAAACGACCCTTGTTTCAAGTACATGACCTTTACTCACACTTCTTTTTTATGACCTTACCTGCCCTAAAGACTTCCCCACATCCGTCGCATCTCGTAGCAAAAGCTGCGTCGTAGCAGCTCCCGCAGTACACTTTATCAGCCTTGGATCCAAAGGGTTTGTCAACCAAGGAAACTTTACACTTGCTACAAAGGAAACAGGACTCATGCCAGTGTTTCTCCTTGTACGACAAATCCTGGAAGGTTTTAACAATTAGATTATAGTGTACTGCTGTTTTGCAAATGCAACTAACTTGAAACATTTCAAAAGTGGTTTAAGAAACACTATGTTTGTATTGTGTTTCTCCTTAAGTAAATTCTTATTTACAGCAATTTTTAAAAATTTTGCAATTATGGTGGGTTTCTTACAAGATCTGAAACATTTAACCATTTATATCTATGTATCAACAAATGTAATTATATAATTTTGCTGCAAAACACTTAAATACACGATAAATTTACTGTTGTTTTTTGTTTGTTTCAGTTCTATTACTGTTGGTTGAGAGGCTGCAACATGATGCTAATAGAATTATGGCTTGCCCCTTTTTGTTATACAGATTGCAGGTAAAAAAAAAGTTAGATAAATGTTACAATTATTTGTATGAAATAATGTACCGAATAATGTTTATATAAAATTTATTCACTACCAAATACTTAATGTACAACATTTTTTTCAATCGTCCACTAGATGGCTGTAGGTCATATTGAAGTTAAATCATACCTTGGAGTCTATTCCGATAATTTTATTACATTCATCGCACGTGTTGGCAAAAACCTGCTCATAGCAGCGGACACAGAAAGGGTGTTCATCTCTCAGAACGTAACGCTGTCCGGTGAGGGATTCGTCACACTGCCAGCAGCAGAAATGTCCGGAATGCCAGTCTTTGGACATCGCTTTCGTGTATTCTCCGGAAAAGATAAGCTAGATGAAGTAAGATGCAGGTTATGTCATAAAACAATGACTACACATTTTGAAAAGTAGTAAAAATACCCTTATCTGAGAACCAGAATACATTGTTTCTCATAGTTAGCAATGCCCAAATTGTCTACTGCCTTTCGAACTAAATACACAGATGAATAATCCCTAAAATGATAACACCTTTTTTACTTCCTGCGTAACAAAGACTATTTTTAACATGATTGGATCCCGAAGAAACAACCCTCGCAGGCAAAATGTAATAACTGTTTTCTAGCCAAGTAATTTTATCAAGAGATACAATAATAACATAAAAAAAAATATTTGATGTTTTTTATCACAATATGCTTACGAGTGTCCCCATTATTGGTCGTGGCAGATGTTTAAACATGTGTGTTTTAAGACTTCCAGTGTGTGGCAGATATCTGTATACATGTTTTTAAGATTTTCAGTATTCGACAGGTATTCGCATCTTTTGTCTTTAAGGCTGTCTAAAATATAATAGAATATTGTTTTTTTTATGGGTCTCAGTTGCTGTTTCGTCAGCCGACCTTCATTAGGTGTTGTGACAAATACAATTTTAATTCGTTAACGTGTGGACACTAATCCATGCGTAGATATTTTAAAGAAAACCATCCTTTAAAACTAACTGCGCCATATTCTTTCTTTACAACCTATTGCGGAATTTCTCTTTTCTAGTACATCAGTGTGTGTATTTAAATTAAAGTTCTACTCAGTCACTCTTGGTACCTCTAATGGGTTTTAAAGCCAGTTCGTTTATACATCCATAGCTAATCACGACGTTTACAACACTGTCGTGAGCTTACCAGAGGCTATTAGCAATGCCATTAGCATGTAATCACCCAACGACGTGTTCTTCCTGTTCTTGTAGCGCGTGCTGAAGGCTTTCTTCCGGTGTCTGACGTCAGGCGACCTTTTGCATGTTTTCTATACAGTATAGGTGTGGTGCTCTGACTGTGAAAAGCATTTGATGGGAATAATGTTTAAAATGTCACAGCGGAATCATTCAATTTATTTTAGCCTTTTACTATTAATAATATAATTTTTTCATTTAATTTGCCTCGTCCGTAATTGGCTGCTTAAAGCACGCCAGGTAGACCGCATCAGCATTGCTCTAATTTTTCCTTTCATCGGGAGATCACAAAGATGCTATGAAGCGACCTACTTTACATGTATGGCTGACTACTCAAGCTTAACTGTTCATAAAACGTGGTTCTAGTGAAAGAGAAAGTTTTCCTACCATAAGTAGGCATCAATAACGTCACCTATCTCCCATCAAGTCTTTCTAACAAGGTACCTCGATATAATACTAACAAGCAAAACCCTTACACAAACAAGGAAGCGAATTCTTCACACATTCATTACTTCGCTGGTTAGATCACCTAGTGGTCATTTGGACATTTAGCAGCGAGAAAAATGGGCGTAGAAGTTTCCTGGTGTTTGCAGTTTTAGTTATTTAAGTCCTCATTGTACATAAAAATAAACTGAAATTGCTATATGCTTAAGCTATAGTCGTCAGCCCCATGGGTGCTTGAGAACCTCCCCAAAATTTATTATTGCTACTGAGCAACAAAACACAGCAAACGTGTATGTTGGTACTAGATTTGTTTATAGTAAAATTCCAACTGAATAAAAGTGGATCATCACATACCTATTAAAATAAAACACTTCCCATATGAAAGAACGTTTGAATAAAGTACAGATCATCATCTGAAAACACTGAGTTAACAAAGTGCTCAATTACCTGTACGAAATACGAAATAACTAATTCAACACTAAATTTCGCATATCACTAAGTATAAAGTTCTAGACAGTTAATATAAAATCCTTTCTTTAATAAAACATACATGTTTTGTAAACTTTTGTTCTATCCTACACTGCACAGCAAGCACAAATAATAAATTATTATCTAGACAGATTCGGGTTTGTTCAGAGCGTTGTCTCGATGGCATGTAGTTACCAATTGAACAACTGGGAGTTAGTTTAGCTATTGAGACCAGGTCTCTTGGATAATAAACACACACACACACATATATATATATATATATATATATATATATATATATATAGTATGTATTAGTACGAGTAGTAGTATTAGTTTATTACTTACTTTTCCTTACTTCCGTACTGTA